CAACTCCTCTCCCCCCCCCCCCCCCTAAAAACCATCAAGGTGGGTGGCACCGTTCTCGCCAACGCCTGCGGCCCCTGCATTGGGCAGTGGAAGCGGACGGAGGTGGCCAAGGGCGTGGCCAACACCATCGTCACCTCCTACAACCGCAACTTTGCGGCGCGGAACGACGGCAACCCCGCCACCCATGCCTTTGTCATGTCTCCCGAGATCGTGACTGCCTTCACCATCGCGGGCGACCTGACCTTCAACCCGGAGAAGGACACGTTGGTGGGCAAGAACGGGGAGGAGATCCTGCTGGAGCCGCCCACGGGCGACGACCTGCCCCCCCGCGGCTACGACCCGGGGGAGGAGACGTACCAGGCCCCCGCCGGGTCCAACGTGGAGGTGGTGGTTGACCCGCAGTCCAGCCGCCTGCAGCTGCTGGAGCCCTTCAAGGCCTGGGACGGGGAGGACGTGGAGGGCGCGTTGGTGCTGATCAAGGCGCGCGGCAAGTGCACCACCGACCACATCTCCATGGCGGGGCCCTGGCTCAAGTACCGCGGGCACCTGGACAACATCAGCAACAACATGCTGATCGGCGCGGTGAACGCGGAGAACGGCGAGGTGAACAGCGTGAAGAACCAGCTGACGGGCGAGTACGGCGGCGTGCCGGACGTGGCCCGCGCCTACAAGGCCGCGGGCGTGCGCTGGGTTGTGGTGGGTGACGAGAACTACGGCGAGGGGTCGTCGCGCGAGCACGCCGCCCTGGAGCCGCGCCACCTGGGCGCGGCCGCGGTGCTGGTCAAGTCCTTTGCCCGAATCCATGAGACCAACCTGAAGAAGCAGGGCCTGCTGCCCCTCACCTTTGCCGACCCTGCCGACTACGACAAGGTGGGGCCCTTTGACAAGATCTCCATCCGCGGCCTGAAGACCTTTGCCCCGGGCAAGCAGCTGACCGTGGCCGGAACGCGCCCCGACGGCTCCACCTACGAGTTCCCCGTCAACCAGACCTTCAACGACAACCAGATCACCTGGTTCAAGCACGGCTCCGCGCTCAACGCCATGGCCGCAAACCTCAAGTCCCAGGCCGAGAAGTGAGCGCCCGAGGCGCACGAGCGAGCAGCACCCATGCTCGGGGAGGAGGGGCCGAAGGGGGAGCCCGGGCCCCAGCGGCCAGGAGGGCGCAGGCGCCCTACATCAACAGGAGCGCTTTTCCTGGATCCTCCCCCTGGTTTCGCGGAGGGGCCGCATCCATCCATCATCCTGGCTTGCTGCGGAATGATGTGGGAACACTGGTCCATCCCAGGACGCCCCCGGCGCCACTCTTCCTAAACCACACCGCACCCGCGCTGGCGTAGAATTGTCACGTCTATAGTCTCTGCTTTGAAGAAAGAAGGCATGACTCGGGGTTACACCCCCGTGTCCCGCCTGGTCTTTGTAACCGGACCCTCTGCAACCCCAGGAATGAGGGGAGCAGCATGGGATCAAGTCGGCGGTGTGTCTACAGGCATGCCTGGAAGGTTCTTGCAGCTGTCTGCCACAACTTCCCCAATGCGTCCATTCAGCCGGCCCCTGCTAATGTGTGGGCATTTACATCTCACGAGGGGGCACGCAGCAGCTCCCCTCCGGCATGCATGCGAGGTATCTTGCTCCTGGGGCAACCATGTGACGCGGTGTCATGCCGAGCCACAGCGGCAAGCGCTGTCACTCGGGTGTGGGGGCGCCCGGGCCTGGGAAAGATGGGCGCAAAGGGTTCCCTGTTCGGGAATGAAGGGGGGAACAAGTACATGAGGGGCACAACTGCGAGGGCCACCCCCCACCTGGCTGGAGGGAGGGGTGGAAAACTAAGGGGAGAGGAACGAGAATGAAGAGAGAACGACCCTGCGAGATGAGGTACAGGGCACACGACGCATTCTTGCGCGCAATCAAATCGCGGCTGGGGGTGGTGGGGTGGTGGGTCGGCATGCGATGTGTGGGGCTGCAAAGACAAGTCACCCTGTACTTGGGTGTGTCAAGGGGCCTGGGACCTCGCGGTAGCCAGAGAGAGGCATCTTCAAGGACAGCTGTCGAGGTCCTAGATGCCCGGCGGCTGGCCGCCGGGACCAACTGCAGGGCTCAGGGGCTCAGCGCGCTACTGGGCCCCGCCAGCTTCCAGATGGCCAGCTCTCCGCTCTTGTCCCCGGAGACGAGCAGCTCGCTGGAGCCTGCCGCGATGCTGCGCACGCTGTGGTGGTGGCAGTGCAGCGCCGCAGCCGCGGGCATCAGCAGCGACGGGACCCAGCGACGCAGGAGCTGTGTGTTCCAAGGTGTGTGTGGGATGGGTCAGGCACTGATTGAGTAGTCGGTTTACAGCCTGGCCAAGGACCTGACACAAGGTGGGTGGCCCCTCTGCAGTCAATCTCCTCGCCTGGCTTTCCACATTGGGCTGCTTGCCCACCCCTCTGCTGGACCTGCGCATCCAGACACGGTCCTCCCCCACTCCCCGCAGCCCCACGAGCAAACACACCTTGTCGTCGCCGCCGCTGTACAGGAGGCCGTCCGGCCCAGCCGTCATGCAGTTGATGCGCTGGCCGCAGTGCGCGGCCTCCAGGGGGATGAGCAGGTCCAGGCCCTCTGCAGACCAGGCCTTGATGCTGCCGTCGTAGCTGGCGGAGTAGAGCGTCTCCCCTCGCAGCACGAGGGCAGTCACCCGATCGGCGTGCGCGCCGCGCCAGGTCTTCAGGCACTTGAGCTCGCCCTTCTTGCCCACGCTCCACATCCTGCCAGTCGAGGGATGTGTGGGGGTCGGATTGTGGAAGTGTGTCGAACCCACCTCCACCTCGCAGTGGTGCAAGTGGGATCCACTGCATTCAGAAAATGACACCAAAACATCCCACACGCCAGAACACCTTCGCTGTGCTCTGTCCCCCTCCACTCCCCCCTGCAGAAAGAGTGACACCTCCTCGTGCCCCACCAAATTGAGCCGTCGGCGGTGCCGGCATACACCGCGTCGCCGTTGGCAGCGAGGCACACGATGTCGCCGCGGTCGACGCTGGCGGTGGCCACGCAGCGGGGGACGGCGCGGCCCAGGTCCCACACCCGCAGCTGGGTGCAGGAGCCGGAGAAGAGCCAGCGCGTCCTGGAGGTGGCCAGCGCCCTCACCCAGCCCTTGTGGTCCCCAAGCACTACCTGGAAAGGGGGGCATTGTGGAGGGTTGGTGAAGTTTAGGGTGACGCAGCACGACAATCAGTTCACACATGGCCCCTGGGAATTGGCAGCAAGCACACAATGGGAAAAGCCCACACAGCCTACTGAGGCAGACGGGTGGATTGAACTCCAGACCATGCCCAGGGTGCCACGCCGGCAACATTTCGATTGCGGTGGGAACTTTCCCTCGACTCTGACGCTGAAGCACACCAGATTACATCCACGAGCCCCAACACTGGACCCGCACACCTTGTCGTCTAGGCTCAGACGCGGCGGCACCCAGGCCACGATCTGGCGAGCCTGCTTGCCGAGGAAGATCTGATTGGTCAGGCCGTCGAATGAGCGCTCATCCTCAATCAGGCTGAAGATTGGGCCACCCTCTGGGTTGAGGTCGGCTGCCTTGGTGAAGCCTCCGGAGCACAGGGAGTCGGTGTTTCCCTGAGAGACATACAGCGGAGGATCTCGTGGGCAGTGGAGACTTTGAGAATGAGACTCAGGCCCCCGACACAGCCATGCACAGGCCCCTCCTTGTCATACCGATGGGCCAAAGGTAATCAAATATACGATGACACCGAACAAAGGGCCACACTCACATTGCTGGACCAGAGGCGGAGGGACTTGTCCAGGCTGCTCGTCACCACAAGCTTTTGCTGCTCTGCAGCGCATGAGGGGCAACATCACCTGAGCACTCCCAGTATCACCGAGGCTTTGCAGGGGTGGCATGTCGACAGGCCACATTCATAGTCGGGAGGTGAGGACGGGGTTCCCCGAATCTCGTATTTGGAGGCACGGGCTGTCGTCACACAATCTGGCACCCGGGCGCCCGAACCCTCCGGATAAGGTGCATGCCTCGGGCGCAGCCCGTTGGCCCCCCCTCACCGGAGTCCTCGAAGACGAGGGAGGCGGCAACTGCCGAATCATGGCCCTTGAACTTCTGGCACAGCACCGCCTCGCGTCCAGGACTGGTTCGCACGAAGTTTGCCACAGCAGAGACGCGCAGACATCGCGCGCGCGAGCCGGGTCGAGCACAGGTCACACGGACGTTACGGGAGGGCACAGGGGACACGTTTACGCCTGCCAGGTGCATGCAGGCTCGAATCGGCGGTGGAGCCAGGGGGAGGGTCGTGCCGCTGTTCTGAAAGTGACTGGCCCGCCCTCGTCAAAAGGGTATGGTGCGGAGTGCGCACCGGAGTGAGAGCCGGCGCAGAAAGGGCAAGGATTTCGGGATGAAAACTTCCTTGCTCGAGTGCGGATGAAGGCTCGCCGGATGGGGATTGTGGCGCTGTCGACCATTCGAACCTGGCGGGAGGGGCTGTACCCTGGTGCGCAGCTGGGGGTGACGCAGCGCAGATCTGACAGATCAGCGGAAATCTGATTCGTCTCCAGCACCAGGCCACCGGGATGCAAGCCCCTGAACTTCTTAGGCTACTTTACAGAGGAATAAAACAATCGAGGTTTTGCAGGGCGACCTGGTCAGCACAGGACTTTCAGTGTCCCAGACGAGGCACAAAGGTGCCACGGTCTGGGGCACCACTCGGCTATAAGAATCCGCGCTGAGCCCCCCTGCCCTCGCCCGTTGCCGGGACGTTGTTGCCCCAGGGCGACGCCAGCACCTGCACCGCCCGAGCAGCGGCCCGCTGCACCAGCCCCAGCTGCACGCCTGCCACCATCTCTTGAACCTCGGGACGCAGAAAGCCGTCCTTAAGCTCGGGCGGGGCGTTGAGCAGCAGCTCCTGCAGCTGCCTCAGCGCCGCGCCAGGGCGCGTGCCTTGAGTGAGAGGGGAGGGGTGGGGGAGGGCTTGGCAGGATTGGCGGAGTTGAAGGCTGGAGAGGGGAGAAAACCAAACGCAAACAAGCAACCAACCTCTCACCCTGCAGGTCGGCGAGCGTGCCAAACACGCCAGCCAGGGGGGAGGTGGTGGCGTGCGAGGTCTCCCGGGCCAGGCGCCACAGCAGCTCCGCGCGCGCGGCGCTGGCGGCCTCCCCCCTGCCCTCCGGCACGAGACGGGCGGCCAGGCCCGGATTGCGCAGGCGGGCCGCCAAGTCGGCGCGCGCTGCGCGTGCCGCCACCGCGTCCAGCAGGGCCGTGACCTCCGCGGTTAGGCTGGCGCGCAGCCCCGTGCCGGCGGGCGAGCAGACCCAATCGGCCAGCAGCCAGACCTGGCCGGGGTCAAACTCCGCGGCTCGGCTCCCGTTCTCCACCAGGTTCTCCAGTCGTTCCCAGTCCAGCTGCTTGCTGGGCGTCAGCACCAGCTGCTCCAGCGACGCCCTGATTGCGAGTGTGGTGGTGGGGGGGGGGGGGGGGGAGGGAGGGGGGGCGAGGGGGAGAGTTTTGGGGGGCGAGGGGGGGGTGTCGTCGTGGGGGCATCCATCTCAACAAACGCTCAGAATTCCAGCAGGGCGCCGAATGAGGAGGCCCTCTCACATCAGGCATGCCAGTGGCGGCCAGTGATCACTGCATGGCGCAACCGTTGACTGGTGAACAGCAGCCGCTGCCTCACCCTGAGCATGCACACCGCTGCCCACCTGCCATTCTCCCACCTGTCGTGCAGACATGAGAACCGCATTCCCACCATCTACCCCTCCTTTCTTCCCCTCCACCCCCACCTTCCCCAGTATGACTCCCCCAAAGCACCTGAGCTCGGGCGCAGGGTCAGTCAAAAGCCGCCGCGCGACATAGGGGTAGGCCTGAGCCAGCAGCTTGTAGTCTGGGTCGCTGGACAGGGCAAGGCCCTCCAGCACAGTGAGGGAGCGCAGGATGAGGGCGTAGTAGGGCGGGACGCGGAAGGGGTAGCGGAAGAGCACCTCCCCCAGCCCGTCCACCAGCGCCTTGAAGTTCAGGCTTGACACCGAGGCGGTCAGCACGTCGTCGAAGAAGGCGGCCAGCGCGGGGGCGATGGGGCTGGTGTCGATGCTGGGGTCGATGAAGTCCAGCGCGTAGTAGTCACGCGTCATGGCGCGGTAGTCGCGGTTGACCAGGTGCACGATGTGCGCGATGACAGCATAGCGCGCGCCCTGCGGCATCTCTGACATCATCCCAAAGTCCAGGTACACCAGGTCCCCGCCTGCCGTGGCCAGCAGGTTGCCTGTGGGGTTTAGGGTGGGTGGGCCGTGATGGGGGGCATGTGGAGGGCTGGCTGCGCGATTGGGTAGGGGCACATGGCTGGGGGTGCAGGAGCGGAGTCGGGATGGGGGGGCTGGCTACTTTCCACTGCGAAGGGCATGCATCACTGAGCCTCGACACCGCGGCTCCAGACAGGGCTGTAACATGAGCTTTTGGTCAAGAGTATGGCCACGAGCTGGGGGTGACACGTCAAGACCCTGTCGCAGCACAGTTTCCCACCACTGGCTGCGCTGCATGACAGCGAGGCAAGGCGTGCAAGCATACACCACACCCAGAGATGAGGCAACCATTTGCAATGCTCCTCCCTCTGAACAGCCAGTCACCTGGGTGGGGGTCGGCATGGAAGAAACCATGCTCCAGCAACTGCCGCAGGGAGCACTCGATGCCGACGTCCACAAACTGTACCACCGACAGCCCACTCCGAGCCATGGCAGCCTGGGAGGGTCAGGGATTGGCCAGGGAGTGTGATCGACGAGGCAGCAAACGGACGCAGAGAACAGAGGCTGTAAGGGGCAGTACTTCATGCCGTGCCATACTTCGCATCACGGCAGGTTACAAGACCTGGCAAACTCAATGATAACTTCCCCAGGGCTACAGCCTCACCTTGTCCGTCAGCTTCACGCCCTCGATCCACTCCATGGTCAGGACGCGTCTGGAGGTGGCCTCCCACTTGATCGCAGGTGTCCTCACCTAGTTTGAGGAGTACGCAAGTGGGGGATGGCGGACTATGGAATGGCGCATGTTGGGACACAAGAAACAGCTAGCCACTTGGAGAGTCTGGCGTGCCAGCCTGCACTCCCAGATGGAGCCCCAGTCCATGCTGCCAGGCAACATGTGGACTTCATGGCAATAGCCTAAGATCAGTCAGCCTCAAGACCGTCCACAAGCCTGCGCCGCCTCGGGCACCTGCGGCATGGTGCCATAGAGGGCCTGGAAACGCTCAGCATTCCGGCCCTCCTGCATGTAATCTAGCTCGCCAAACAGCCGGGCCGCAAACTCGTCCACCAGTGGCGTCAGGGGCTGGGAGAACTGCACCAGAAGAAAAAGGGGAAACGTGGGCGTGCTTGTTCCAGATGAATACTTGTACTAGCCCAGGAATCATCGCAGGACCCATGCTCTGCTTCCAACAAGCTTCAAAGACTCGTCGACAGCCAGGAAACCCAGTGCACATCGTTCCCAAACCCATCACCGTCACGACTTCACCCTCAAATAACACCACACCCACCAGGGACAATTTGGAGGGCTGCTTGTCTACTGCCGAAATGACGCGGCGCAGGAGCACCATGTCCTGCGCGATCTGCTCCAGGATGCCCGGCCGCTGCACCTTCACAGCGACTTCCTCGCCCGTGGACCTCAGCCGGCCCCTGTACACCTACAGCGTGTGGGCAAGGGGGAGCGAAGATGGCTGATGGGCAGACGCTGGCAGACGACACTCCACGCATCAGATCTGCAGCAAGCGTGGGACCAAGCATGCATTGGCATGAACCACTTCAACAAGCTTATCCCAAAAGTCATCCTTGAGCACCTGTCCGAGGCTCGCGGCTGCCACTGGCTCGGGCGTGAGCTCGCTGTACACCTGGGAGATGGGCCGGCCCAGCTCGGCCTCTATGAGCTGCCTGGCAGTGTCAGAGGGGAAGGGCGGGAGCCGGTCCTGCAGCGTCGCCAGGGCCGCCAGGTACTCCGGGGGGAGCAGGTCGGGACGGGCTGCAACAACAATGTAATGTCGAGTGGGGGAGGGGAGATCCTTGCTCAGGAACATATTGGACCTGGGGGTGCCCCAAGCAGGGAATGATCTTATCACAAAGCATACTTTAAAGCTAGGCCTGAGACCAGTCTGTCGACAATTGCCCTTCCGTGACCAGGTCCCCAGCCTCACATGACAGAGCCTGCCCGACTTTGATGAACGCCGGCCCCAGACTCGCGAGGAGGTCGCGCAGCTCGGGGGCTCTGACATCAGCCCGCTCCAGGAACTTTCCTTGTGCTACGTCCAGAGCCACCTAGCATTGTCCAGGACGGATCAAAGGATGAGGCTGATGTGATGGATGACGTCGCAAGCTTGGCATTGTACCTTGTCGGTTTACATCTGAGCGGTCACCCTGACCACTCAAAATCAAAGATCAACAGCAATGTAGGGACCCTGCATTCCCTCCCCCTCACATACATATGCACAACAGCTGGTAAACTCAAGCATGCTCCCAATGAACTTTCACCTTGGCTGCAAATACGCTGAGCTTTGAGAAGACGGCAATCGATCGGGAGGTGAGGCCCAGCCTCCTATCACGGAAGGATGCAGACAGGCGCTGGGGGTCGTAGTCGGTGCCCATCCCCACCAGGACGGACTCCATGTCCTTATTGGACAGACGCCTGGTGTTGAGAGGGACGGCAGCCCCATTCTGGAGTGGAGGTACGGCCTGCGCATGGAGGCATGGAACTCGAGCGGCTTGGCCTCATGAACGCAGAGGAGCCAGACTGCGTGCTCATGACACCCACGGAGACCCTCTGTACCGTTATTCTCGTCGTCGATGACTCCTCGCGCCCATGTAACAGGCTGCGCCGGCGCTTGGATTCGAGCTGCTGGCCATGATGGAATGAACGAGGGGCCGAGAGTGGTGTAAATTGTCTGGTTAGCCCACCACCGATGAGCGGCCTGCAACAACTTTCCATGCTTGCTCTAACTCATAATGATGTATCAAGAGCTGGCTGGTGGATATCTCAGGGATCATCAATCTAAATTCATGTGGTGTGGTATCAAAAGCACGTGGGGACCCGCGGGCGCCAATCTTTCCTCGTGACTGTCGAGCGGGGGGGGAGCGGCCCGGCCGCTGCCTACTCATGGCGCTGCCCACCTTTAGGAAACGCCACATAGTGAATGCAGCGACATAATTTCAGGCGAGTTGCTCTTTACCATGTTTTGAAGTATTGGGCTCAGCTCACCTGTGTACGACTGCATTCGGAAGTCAACCTGTTGCATCTGTCCCACTCACGACCCTCATATACTCTCCTATTCACAGCATTGTGAACATCATGGTGAATAAAGTGGTGCCCCTTGCACTCCTGGCTCTCCTGTGCATCTGCGCTGCCCCTGCCACCGGACGTCAGCTCCTAGACGCCGACACCTTGGAGGCGGAGGCCCACGGGGTGGATGGCAAGTACAAGAACGATAAACCCCTGATCGGTATCCTGACTCAGGCCTGCCACTTCTGCCCCGGAAGGTGAGGATCGTCGTTCGGGACCTGTCCGAAAGAACTGATCACCACCCGCCCGGCCGGGTCCCAAGGAGGCGCGGACCCTAACCCCGACTCCCCGTTCATCCTCCCTACAGGTCATATGTAGCTGCAGGGTTTGTGAAGTGGATCGAGGCGGCGGGCGGCCGCGCCGTTCCCATCAGGTGCGTTTGCTGGATCCCTCCGGGGAATCTTTTGTTAGGCTGAGGGCCAGTGGCATGATGGTGGCTGGCACCAACCAGCATCCCCCGGGACTGGCCACCACCATCTCCTCTGGCCATGGGCGCCATGTTGTTTCCTCGTCCCCCTCCCACCCCGCCCAAGCTTCCCAAGTCCCAAACCCCAAGCGCACTTACCCCCCCCCCCCCTCCCGTGCCCCCCACCACACACAGGTTCTACGCTTCGGACAACGAGCTGCACCGCCTGTTCAAGTCGGTGAATGGCATCATCTTCCCCGGCGGCCTGACCGACATCTGGCTGGACAACCCCTACGTCATCGCGGCGCGCAAGCTGTGGACCTGGGCCCGCGAGGCCAACGACGCGGGCGACGTCTTCCCCATCTGGGGCACCTGCCTCGGCTTCCAGCTGCTCCACGTCCTGGAGGCCAACGTCTCCTTCACCGAGCTGCTGATCCGCACCGACTCGGTGGGCCACGCATCCACCCTGGACCTGACCGAGGCTGCGCCCTCCTCCGCGCTGTTCGGCGGCATCAGCCCCCACCTGGCTCGCAAGGTGGCCGACCCCGCCCTGAACATCACCATGGAGAACCACTACTTCGGCCTCCCCCCCGAGCACTACCGGCGCTGGGGCGTGCTGGGTGAGGCCTTCACCGTGGTGTCCACCACCCGCGATCGGGTGGGCGTGGAGTACATCTCCACCGCGGAGCACAGGCGCTACCCCTTCTTCGCCACGCAGTGGCACCCGGAGAAGCCGCCCTACGAGTTCGGCATGAAGGCCATCCCACACAGTCTGGACGCGGTGCTGGTCTCCCAGCACCTGGCCAACGTGTTTGTGGACACCGCGCGGCGGTCGGGGCACGAGCCCGAGTCGCACGAGGAGGAGCTGGTCATGCTCATCTACAACACCAAGCCCTACTTCACGCTCAAGGACTCGGTCATGGACCGCTCCTACGACGGGCCAGACATGACCTACTTCTTCGACTCAAAGGATGATGCGCCAGACAACGGGCTGCGTGGCGCCGAGCCGCGGGGCTCAACCAGCTTTGCGGGGCGGGTGTACCGTGGCCAGGAGGCGCCTCACCTCACCGCCTGGGCATGAGGGGGCGGGGTTACTGCTGCGAAAGACGTACACCCTGTGTCAAAGCATTGATGCGCCCAGCACACACCTCTCAAAGACAGCCAGGAGGGGCAAAGACTGGCGAGTAGCCGTTCAGGTACGCCCAAACGGGAAAGCGAGGGTCCGATCACCTGCGCCCTTCCACCCGTCCTTCGGGGACGCGCGCCCTGGTCCCAAGGGTTTCCCAAGCATGTCGTGACCCAAGGGTAGGCCCGTTATTCAGCAGTGCTTCTTGCGTGAAAACTTTGGCTTCACCATCAATTCGAATCAACAAAGTAATCAAGGGGGAGACGAGCGACTTCGAGGTACGTCCCGTGAGGACGGGGTGGCTTTGACACATTGTCCCCATGCGTGGTGGCCGCCTGTGATGGACACTTCAGGCCCAGGTATCTTCCGGACGAGCCATCGAGCCCACATCGCGACGCGCAGGGCTGGAGCAGGGGCATCCGCCAGGCTCGCCATGACCAGTGCAGCCCGGCTGCAGGCCCTGTGGAACCACCCCGCCGGGCCCAAGACCATCCACTTCTGGGCACCCACCTTCAAGTGGGCCATCACATTTGCCAACATCGCTGACTTCTCCCGCCCGGCAGAGCTGGTGTCCTATCCTCAGCAGTGCGCTGTGACGGCCACGGGCCTCATCTGGTCGCGCTTTGCCACCCAGATCAAGCCGGTGCGTTGAGGGGGGGGTTGATTGTGGCCACGAGTTCAGCCCGTGATGAGCCTCATAAGGGTTCGATGAGGAGCTTGGTGGTTCTGTTGTGGATCTGATCTTTCGTACTTCCCGCAAGTTTGCATCTCCATATCATTGCCTTGCCTTCCTCACCCCGTAGGTGAACTACAATCTTCTGGCAGTGAACTGCTTCATGGCAGCCACAGGCATCTACCAGTTGTCACGAAAGATCAAATCCGACATGGACCGGGAGAAGGCTTGATGGCAGAGACCATAAAATGTACAGAACACACTGGTCTCGCGCAGCTGGATTGACAGCGATCCTGTTGCTGCTGCTGCTCCCTCCACTTGTTACACGGAGGCCAGAACATGCCAGAGCATCCTCTGCAAATCTAAGCAGTCCATTTGTTGCAAAGTGCACCGTTCACCTCAGAGGAAGGGACAAAATGGGGATTGGCCTCGGGAACTTGGTTGCGCAACCCGCACTATCGCGAAATTCAAAGATGCGTACACCAGCTCAAATGCTGTGCCGGTCTCGTGCACACAGCTTCGACACGACAACTCTGTGACGTGTTACCTGGACACTCCACATGGTCACCGATTTTATTGCCTTCGAGTATTCCCTGCCAACGGCCACAGGCAGGTCGCCCGTGGGTAAGCCCGCCCACATGGCCTCCTCCCAGAGAGACGGAGAGAACGTGCACCCCTCCGCCCCTCGCGTCGTCGAGCCGCGTCAGTACCCTCTCCAGTCCCTACCCTCGAACCAGATTTTCAGTCCTGAAGCCTTTCGCACGCCGCAGCACAAGTACTCCAGCAGCACGCCGGCCCCTGATCCGATTGCTCGGCTCGTGGACCTCCAGACGCGGCATGCAGCGCTGCTGGACGGCATAGAGCAGGCCCAGCGCTCCGCTGAGCAGGTGGGATGGATTTGCTGTGCAATTGTGTGGTGCTGCGAGGAGTTGCCTGGCGGGGCAGCCTGAGTCGGTCACCTCCCTGATGCAGCCCCAAACATACGACGCCCCCCCCCGCAAGCCCCATAGCTCGGCAAGATATGCATGGATCGCGAGGCTGCAGCGGATGCTGCCGAGGCCAGGCTGCAGGAAGCCACGGAGCAGCTGCAGGGGACCTCCAAGGAGCTGTCCGGGTCAGTGACGTCTGTGATATGTGGTTGGTGACGGAGCTCACAATGCCATGCCACACAAAACTTGGTGGGAAATGGGTGCATGCCTTCGAGCACATTGCTGCTTGCTGCATGAAGGGATTCACAACCCTAGCCGGCACTCGTGCCCACGCTCCCTTCCCCTGGACGCCCACCGTCCATGCAGCCTCCAGGAGGAGTATGAGGCCACCTCTGCGCTGCTGGCGCGGTGTGCGGAGGGGTTGGCGGCTCAGCACACCGCCCTGGAAACCGCCGAGGTGTCGGCCGCCGAGGCGGAGACCCAGGCGCAGGCCGCCCAGACCCGGCGGGCCGAGGCCGAGGCCGGGGCGCAGAGTGCACAGCGTGAGCTGGACGCCCTGGCCGAGCGGGTCGCCGCCCTGCGTGGCGAGAGCGCCGAGCTGGAGGCCGCCGGCGCCGACAAGGCGGAGGCCCTGCGGCGCCAGCTGGCGGAGGAGTCTGCCGCCGCCCAGCAGCAGGTTGGGCTTGGGATGGTTGCTTTTGGGGGGAGGGGCCCTGACCCGGCAAGTCTCAGTTGCGGGCACGGTGTGCGATCACCAGGACGGTTGCTTCCACTGCTACCTCCAACCGCGACCTGGGTGCCTCGCCCCCCCAACCCCAACATTCTTACTTTCTCTCTTGCGCCTTACCCTCACAGATCGCAAGCTGCGTGGCGGAGGGCGAGGCGCGCCTGCGAGGGGTCCAGGCCCAGGCATCAGATGCTGCACAGCAGGCGGCCGAGTCTGTCCGCGAGGCCGAGCAGGCACAGGCCCAGTTGGAAGAGACAAACTCTCAGCTGGCAGAGACAACCTGCCAGCTGTCGGAGGCACGACACTTGCTGGCGGCCGCGCAGGAAGAAACCACGCTGTGCCGCAGGGAGGCCCAGCAGAGCCTTGGCACGCTGGAAGCCGACGTTGCCCGGCTGCGTGGCGAGGCCGTGGCGCTGGAGGCCAGGGTGGTGACGCTGGGGAGCCGGTTGGCAGAGCTGAGCGCGGCGTGCAGGGCGCGGGAGGGGGAACTCCGGGACCTGCGGGATGCGGAGGGCAAGTGCGGGGAGCTAGAGGCCTCACGCCGCCGCGGCGAGCTGCTGGGCGAGGGCCTGGACCTGCTCAGGGACCAGCTGGCCTGCCAGCGAGAGACCCTGGCGGCGGCGCGGGAGGGCGTGGCCGCCGCCGACGCGCGGGCCCGGGCGGCGGAGGACAGGGCGGCCCGTGCCGAGGAGAGGGCGGCGCGGGCCGAGGAGAGGGCGGAGGTGCTGCTGTGGCAGCAGGATGGTGCCCCAGGCCCATCCGGCAGGTGGGTTGGGAAGGAGGGGCAGTGGTGGGGCTGGGGCGACGAGCAGGAAAGCTCGTCTCACAGCAGTACCCCGCAGCAGTACCCCGCAGCAGTACCCCGCAGCAGTACCCCGCAGATGGGGGCGCGAGCACAGAGTAGTGCTTGGCAGGCAGGGCACTTCTCCTTCGAGGAGCCCTATGGTCAGCATGCTGGCCACCGCCGGCTGCAATGCAAGCACAGCATGGCACCCGATGCTCCCTTCGCCACACCACACAGGTCCTTCCGGCCCCTGCTGCAACATCGCGACCGGTCGGCGGGCCCTGGCCACCTCGACGCCGACCAGTGGGCCCCGCCCATGCTGTCAGGCGCCTCGCTCTCCAGCACCTTGGGAATGCCCGAGCAGGGGGCCCTGGTGCCAGGTCCCGGCCACCCCCAAGCATTGGACCCCGGTCAAGCGGAGGCCCTGCACCAGCTGGGCGCCATGCGCTCGGCGGCGCACCGTCTGACTCGCGCGCTGCTCCTGCTCATCAGCACGCCCGCGGCGCGCCAGCTGGGGATGAAGGAGGCGGAGGAGCTGCGGGTGCTGCTGTCCGGCATCCCCCTGCTGCGCAGCAGCGGCGAGGCAGAGCCCCCCCGCTGGACTGACTGACGACGCTTGTTTCCTGAGTGGGTGAAAATATCAGAGGAGCACTACCATTCTTGCTGCAACGAGACATATCATCTGACAACCATTGACTGTACAGCGTAATTTGCCATTGTTGCACCCGTCCACATACTAGCAGCGCGACAGACAGGAGTAAGGGGCTGGTGACAGAGGAGCCTGCTTGAATTTTGACACACTCACAATCCCCCCTGTCTCATTATGCTGTGACGTCGCAGTACAGGCCGTCCCACAGGATCATCTTCTTGTAGGCCTGGTACTGCAGGACCAGGAGCCCCGTCCGCTCGGTCGACCAGGAAGTGTCCTCGGGCTGTGTGTCGCGGGCGCCGACGCCGGGGTCTGCCGTGGGCTTGCCTCCCCAGCGGGCGCCCGCCCGGGCCTCCAGGGCGCGGTAGTGCCGCAGCGCGGCAGCCCACGGGTGCTCTCCGCCTTCAGCGGCCTGCATGGCCGCCAGGCGCTCCAGGTCCTGGCACAGCCCGGAGTCAAACGCCCCGGCCAGCTCGCGGCAGCGGCGGGCCAGGGCCACCTGCAGGGCAGCCTCCAGGGAAGCCACGCCCTGATCGGGCGGGCACGGGCGCCACCCGCGGGCATGCAGCGTCTCCACCACGGCCAGGAAGCGGGCATCCACGCTGGCCTGCGCCTGCAGCCGGAGGCGGCCCGCCTCTCGCGCCGCGGCGCCGGCCTCTACGGCGGGCATGCGCAGTAAGATGCCGGGGTCGACGGACCCCGCCACCTCGGTGGCCGCTGCGGCTGCCTCCTCCCACACCAGAACCGCCGTTGCCTGGCGAGTGGGCAACCGAAGAGGAAGTGGGATGAGGATCTGCAGAAGCCATCTGTCAGGCTTTTGCTGGACTGGCTCTGTGCTCGTTCCAGGCGTCGCTACCGTAACACCACAAGCGACCGTGGGGCGGGGTGTGTGAGCAAATCCGCCTTGAACGCCCTGAAGACGGTGGCATGGGCCGGCATGTTTCCCCACCGCCTCGACACAGAGCACGAGGGCAGCCACCAGCGGCGCTGGACGCCATGGCCCTGCGCAGCCCAGGGACAGTCTGTCCGAGGAAACAGGAACCCACCTCGTCAAGGCTTGCATCGGGGGCCTGGAACTCTGCAGCACACCATTGCAGGGCTTCGGTGACGTCCTCAAACAGCACGACATCGTCGTGAGGGTTCATGGGCGGGACAAAGCCGTAGTGCAGCAGGAAGTCATCGTTGTTGCGTTCGCCTGGTATTGGAGTGAGGCGTAGGAAGTGACACTCCCGACGAGTGCACATGCACGGTCACAGGCGCCACAGCGCCTCAACGCACCGTATGAGAGCAGGAGCTCGGAGCCCGCGGCGATGTCCTGGGTGGCAGACACTGCGACGGTCCACCTTCCACCCAGCTGCGGCACCATGTCCCATCTGTGGATGGTGGGGAGGGAGGAGGCAGGGGGTGGAAGGTCGATTAGTCCGATGCGCACCGCAAGATTGGAAACCCACCTGCCCCCCACGCGCCCCCCTGCACCTCGCGTTGTCCCTGGAGACGGGCTCGGCTCCTGGGCTCCAGCTCTCGGGCGTTTCGTCCCCGGCGTGGTTGATCATGTCTACAAGGGGAACCAGCATGCGGACGCCCACCCCTCCCCGCTTTCCAGCAGAGCCAAACGTCCGGGAATGCACCAGCTGCGCCTCGCAGGCAAGGGGTGAAGGGTGGTGGTGGATGATGGAGCGGGGGAGAGTTCCGGGGTCGGGCGTTCTGGGCATGATGCGCCACATCAATCCATGCACAGAATAACACTCCTGCTCCCATGATAGTTTCCACGCAGCAGGCCAGGCCACCCCAGACCGGCCTCACCCCCAGCGCCCAGTGGAAGTCGGCCGTGCTCCAGCTCGCGCCCTGGGCCCGGGCGGCGGCAATGCCCTCGTGCACGATCCACCCCAGCCGATCCAGTTCAGCCCGGGCGGGGGGGTACTGCACGATTTGCAGCGCCTCCCACGTCACGTCCAGCCAGGGGGAGGGGGCATTGCGCGGGAGCACCTCCAGGTAAGGTTCCCAGGCGCTCCCTGCCGCTCCTTCCCTGAGGGACAGGAGGCGCGAGGCCAGGGTCAGGCTCCAAGGCGCCCCCGGGTAGGGCGGCGGCGGCCCGTCCTTGTCAGCGTCTGTGATGGCGAGGCGGGCCGGCACGCGCAGCAGGATCTCTCCGGCCTTCACATCCTGTGCGCGGGTGTGGTGTTGTGGACAGGGTGGAATGGGGAGCTGCAGACATGGGGCAGACCAGGCAAGGCCCTGGCAAAGGCCATGAGGATGTGCCATTCAATTTCTCACTAAGAGACATCCCTGCCCAAGCAGGGCTCATCGACGCACTTTGACGGCGACCAGGCCTCGACTGTCGACATCTTGGCCCTCAAAGAGGGCGACCTTGCTCTCCTTGCTTCCTATTCCAGAAACACCTGTGCAAGTGTCATGAAGAGGCACAAATAGTGAGTGACTGTCACAGCACCTCCATCACAGCATTCTTTCAATGCACGGCCACTCTATACTAGCCCTGTTTGCTGTACATGCAAGCAGACACTCTTTGACCCGCAGTCATACGTAGGTTCCTCCTGCAGCCAACACCCTATATCCGTGAAACATCTTACCATTCTGCAGTGCCCATGACAAAAAAGTTCCCAAGGCGTCCTTGGTAGGCTGAGCTGGTTTAGACGCCTCGCTTTTCAGTCCAGCCTGGATTTTTCCTTGCAACGAAGTGCGAGGCTTGCCTGGAGCTCGCCCCATGGAACACTGCCATTTTTGGTGGCCCAGAGCAGCACTGGATGATGCTCCACGGGGGACCTGATGGCGAAGATGAGGATCATGAAATTGATGACCTCGTCCTGCCAGCCGTATGGATGCACCAGATGATGCTCGACTCCCTGCGACTTCCAGGGACCGACCCAGAAATGCCTGCATGGAGGGTGAGCGATTCAGGCGAGCATGTTGCGTCCGGCCGGTGCCATGACGGGCTCACAGACAGATGTGAGCTCGTCTCGAAAAGGAATGCCAACTTCATGCATTACACGGCGATGTAAGCCTCTCCTTCCCGTCCATGCAGGCCACAATGCCTCCATGTGCCGGCGCCGGTCACCCATCCATGGGAGAGCGCAATGCCACGTCACCCGGCCTTTGTTTTCCGGGGTGTGCAGGGATACCATCAAAGAGCCCTCGACCGTATTCTGGCATGCCTGAAGCACAAGCTCTGGTAGGCTTACAAACCTTTTGGTGGAAGAGTGCGATCCGGCGCGACTGGCTGACGCACTCCCGACACCCCTGTGGAAGTGATCCCCCATGCTCCTCGATCCCCGGCGATGAGCCTGAGCTCCTCAGAGGCGGAGGATTTTCCGGATGAAGAGACCAGCCCGACAACGTTCGGCCAGCGTCTGGTGGGCTTCGCCTCGGGATTCGGGGAGGCCCTGGCACGGACCGCTGCCTCCGCCACGGTCCTCCTCTCTGACGCCCAGCTGCGACGCCAGGGCGCCTCGGTGCTGAGCGCGGGGGCCAGCAAGGGGCTGCGCGGGGTGCAGTCCGGCGTGGTGGCGGGGGTGCAGCGCCTGCAGGCCGGGCCCAAGCAGCTGCGTGCAGCCCTCGCCCGCGTCCAGCAGCGCATCGAGGAGGAGCGCCTGGCCGTGCTCCTACGGGTGAGGTGGGGCTTTCTTCTGGGAGGGGGATGATTGGTGGGAAACCGACTGCCATTACAGCACTTGTCCTCTATCTCAGGGACAGTCACATGGTATCGTGGTCGGCAGCCTCGCTGGGTGTCTTCACCGAATCTTGACCATCCAGCATGTCTGCCGTGCTCTTCCAGGGAGCTGAGTGTGAAGGGCACCCTCTCTCTAGCAGACCGCTTCCATCCACTTCCCTTTCCCCCCGAAAACCATTCGCGCTTTTCAGGAGCAGCGTGACTCGCCAGTGGATGTGCAGGTCGGATTTCAGGTGTACGAGGATGCGCCCCAGGAGCTCCGTTCGCGGCTGTGGATGGCGCTGCTGGAGCACCCGGGCTTCGTGCGGGAGCACCGCCGGCTCATGGGGTCGCGCAGGAGCTCCAGCGTGCCGCTCGAGCTGCCTGGCGAACGTGTGGAGTCACCGAAGGAGAGCCAGGCCACGCCGCCGGCAGGCGCCGGCTCCGTCGCATCACCAGCGGGACGTAGGGAGGCTCATGATGCTGCCGAGGACGCACTTGCGACCGACGGGTCTCCACGGCAGGCTGACGTGGGGGCTCACGATCCAACAACGGCCGCTGCTGAGTCTCCCCCTGCTAACAGGGCGGGCGGCCAGGTGGAGGATGGTAAGGAGGAAATCATCGGGCCCCTGGAGCAGTCGAGCCTGGAGGAAACAGCGGCGGCCCATTCCGCCGATGAGACGGGGCCATCGTCGCACACTGTGCACTCCAGCCCCAGGAAGGAGTCTGGGGAGACCCTGCCCACGCCCTTTCGCACCGCCAGGCCCAATGCCACGGGCGTGCCAGGGCGGGGCATGCAGTCTCTCCCAGCGGGCTCCGACGACAGCGCTGTGGACCTGGACTCCCCTCGGCCCTTAGAACCCGCCTCGCTTTCCTCCAGTGCGGAGGAGCTGCTGGCCAGCGAGCCGTCCAGCTCGGTGGCCTCGCCCGCGCCGCCAGCGCGGGATGAGGCGGGATGGGAGGTGGTGCGGGACGGGCGGCCGGAGGGGAGATTGCAGGGGGCCGCCCTTCTGCAGAGCGCCTCAGGGTCGCTGCCCTGGAGCCTGGAGCGGGAGGCACTGCGCAACGGTGAGTGGGTTGTGTATTGTGTGTGGGGAGTGGAGGCTATGCGAGCGGTCCCTCGTCACCGACGTGGTGTGGGGGGAGCAGGACTTCCGGGGTGCAGTCGTTTGCACTGCTTCAAGTATGCTGACTTTCTCATATCGACCCCACCCTCCAAACCCCTCCAGCCCTGATGGCGGCCATGGTCGCGCTGCCCTGGCCGCTGCCCACTGACTACCCGCCGGACTGTCGCTACTCCACCCTGCTGCAAATCAGGTGGGCAAGTGATGGTTGACTTTGCCCAGCATAGCAGGGGGCCAATGCAGCCTGGAGACTTTGACAGTAGGTCACACATAACGGCAGCCACTCGAGCAGCACACTTGGGCACTGCACCCCAACCCCCCCCCATCCTACCCACCCTCCGCCACCTCCAGCGTCGGCCAGGAGGAGGTGGACGAGGTGATCAGCCGCGACATCCACCGCACCTTCCCGGAGTACCCGCTGTTTGGCGCGGAGTGGGGGCAGCAGGCCCTCTTCCGCGTGCTCAAGGCCTACAGCCTGCACGACCTGGAGGCGAGTGGGATTTGAAAGCTGGGGTGATGGCGAGGGGTCGTGTGCCTGCTGGGGTGCTTGCTGGCCCCACATTTGACTGGCCCTGTGGTTTCCCGATGTTGATCCCTCGCTCATGCACCCCAGGTGGGCTACTGCCAGGGCATGGCGTTTGTGGCGGGGCTGGTCCTCTTCTATGTCCCGGAGGAGCCGGCCTTCCAGCTTTTCGGCCGCCTCCTCTCCTCCTCCGGCCCCAACCTGCGTCGCTTCTACCTGCCCGGCCTGGCGGGGCTCAAGTTGGAGCTGCTGCGCTTCGACAGGCTCATGCAGCGGCACATGCCGGCCCTGCGCTCCCACCTCGAGGTCTGCATGTTGTGAGGCTGTGTGGGCATGCGGTGTGCCGGCTGGGGTGCGGCCTGAGAGATCTTGGCACAGGTGTCGAGCCACTTCGATCCCCCCCCCGGGCAGGGTGTGATGTCATTCCTGACCCTGGCACAGGCCCTTTGCTGCGACACCGGTCCCCTCCACCCACTCGCATCCTCCACCACCCTCCACCCCCCAGGTGCACGGCGTGATCCCCGTCCTCTTCGCCAGCCAGTGGTTCCTGACGGCCTTCGCCTGCCCCTTCCCGGTTTCCTTTGCCTGCCGCGTCATCGACGGCCTGCTGGCCGAGAACGGCAGCGAGGTGCTGCTGCGTGTGGGCCTGGCCATCATGGCCGAGTGCGAGGCTGACCTGCTGCTGCGGGACGACTTTGAGGACCTGCTGACCTTTCTGAAGGTGCAGGGATTCTGTCCCTGCCAAGAGGGGTGGGCCTTGAAGTGGCTCCAGGATGTATCCGGCGGGCAACCCCTCGTGGCCCACTGGCGGCCCTTGCCACCCACTCAAGTGAGGGGTACTTGTGACCGCACGTCTCCTGGTCCCTGTTGTTCCGACCTCCCAACCTCCCCTCCCAAACGCAGGCGGAGCCGCTGACGTGGCCGGCCTACCGCACGCGGCGGGTGCTGGATGCCGCCATGAATGGCAGCCTGGATTTGGGCTGCGAGGAGGTGCAGGGCGCCAGCGAGGATGGCGCTGGGCCAGTGCCCCCACCCCTGCCCAGGTGAGGATGGACCGGGCAGGAGTTTTGGGTGGGCGGGGGAGACTAGGTGGTTCCCGGGTGTGGAAGGTGCCTTGCAAGGGAACCAAGGTGGATGGACGGGAGATTCTGCTTCTTGCAGGGCGCCTGGCGTGCAATTTTTGTTCTGTTCGTGGCTTGCATTACGGTAGGTTGAGTGTCATGTGTGCGACCCAGGACCCACCACCCCTGCCTGCACCATTCCCACAGGACGCCGCTCAAGGGAGCTGACCCCGCACGGGAGGAGAGCCCCTCCCCTGCACCCCTCATGGCCGCCGCCGACGCGGTGGATGCCGACGTCGCCAAGCAGCGGGCAGAAATGGACGAGGACTTTTTGGAGATGGTCCTGGAGCTGGACCACCTGTGGACGGGGGGGGCGGTGTCCAACGCCGCCAGCGCGGCGTATGACGAGCACCTGGGCGGAGTCCGCAGTGCTGAAGGGGCCTGAGTCATTGCGTGCAACCGCGCGGCTCCAGGGTTCCGGAGCCGGTCTGTGCTACGACGGGTTTGCGGGATTGGGATGATGTGCAGGGAGGGGAGGGACCTGCGCGATAACCCCTACTCGGAATGCACTGTCCCATACCCTCCTGGTCTGCAAGCACTGCACTATTCGATCTCAACATGCTACAGCAGGGTGCCTGCCCAGTGTCATATAGCTCCATGTATGACTGATGCAGCACACCAAGGGCATTGCAGGGGTGGGAGTAGGGATTCATGTGTACGGAAGAAAGGCTGGCAGCACCCAATACTCCGCTCCTGCAGCCCAACAATGGCAAGCCCAGATCTCTCCTCCTGGAGGCTCCCACCCCCCTAGAGGCTGGCAGGCTTGCTGAACTCGATCTTGTCCACCTTGACCTCTTCGCCGTGCAGCTCGTACACGTACACAGTCACCTGCATGAAAAGGATGCGGGCATCACCTGTGCCGGAACGGACCAGGAACAAGGTTCCTTGAGCTTCTCAGCCCCACCGCAACACATACCACCCCCAGCCAGAGCTCACCCTCGGGCCGTCGATATCCATGAGCACGAAGCTGGGGATGGGATCGGGCGTGATGGTGCTGAAGGCCCCCGTCCCCGACCCGGGGTTGATCACGAATCGGCCTTCGTGCTTGTAGGCCTGGAAGGCATGGGTATGGCCCAGCACCAGGATGTCGGTGTTCAGCTTCCGCTGCAGGATGGCGGCGGCCGCCCTGTCGCCCACGGGGACGATCTGGTGGCCGTGGCACATGCCAATTCTGAACTGGCCGTAGGTCTGGACCTGTTGGGGGGGGAGGGGAGGCAGCACTGAGGTCGCCCGCAGGGCAAGGTGCCAGCGGCGGCCATGACCTCATCACACCGTCGCCACCCACCAGGGTGTCTGACCACTTGCTGCTGTCGTCAAAGTCGCCTTGCGTGACTTGCACGTCGGAGCAGATGGATTTGAGGTAGTCATAGGTTGCCTGGGAAGAGTTGGGGGATTACCAGGGTCATGGATCTGCTGCAGGCAAGTCAATGGATCAGAGGTACCACCCCTGATCATGGAGAGGAGAGAAAGGGCCCATTGGAATCTGCAAGGTGCACGTCCCAGGAAGCATTGAGCAGAAAAAGACGTCGGCCTGGCCCTACCTCCGTGCAGAGGTTGCCCGGGCAGAGGATGTGGTGAATCTTCCCAGGCACAAGCAGGGCCTTGAACTTCTCGTGCAGGTCTGGCACACGGTGTGGGATGTGCAGATCGCCGATCACCAGCACCAGCATGATGCTGAGTGAGGAAGGCAGAGCCCCTCGCCAGTAGATGAGTGCGAGGGGAGCCTGGGCTGTATCCGCGCACTGCGCCCACCTCCGGTGTGAGGAGCGACTGCCGGCCTGATACCCTGACTAATTATGGAACGGTCCTAGTTAAAGGTGAGGGCGAATGCAGGATTGGATCTTGTGTGACTGACCGACTGTCCACCCGAGTTCAAGAGTGCAGTGAGCAGCAGCGCCCGGATCCACCTCCGACATTGGTCAGCCGGGCTTCCCAGCAGTGGTATAAGAGATGAAGAGACCCGCTCGTACACCGTTTTTTCAGCCCGAAACTCTACAAACCCAATAAAATCACTGTCTATCTCTCCACCTGGATGGGTACACTCGATCGGTGACAGGGACGGCAGTCATGTCCTTCTGCAACCTTGACCAGGCCCTGCAGGGTGCGTGTGTGTGGGATGGAAGTGCCAAGCCTCTGTGCCTGCTGCGGCACGCGCCTGCTAACCTTCCTCTGCTCCTTTGCAGGGGTGGAGAGGGCCGTGCGGGATGCCCGCCTGTCCCACGAGCGGGCGAATGCCGCGAGCTCCTCCGACAAGGGCCGGATGGACCGCCTAGAGGCCAGGTATGGGAACGGGATGTGGATGCAGCCAGCCTCGGTCGACAGGGCTCCAGCAGCACCCACGTCTCCTTCCTTCACTGTCTTAGCCTCCCCTTGTACCCCTCCCCCGCCAGCCTGCGGGAGGAGCGTGCCAAGACGGCGCGGCTGGAGCGGGAGCTGGCGGCTGCCACACGGCCGCGCAGCCCGCCCTTCAGGGCGCCACGCCCGGCCTCGGAGCGTTCCGCGGCCTCCGCGTCGTCCGCCTCGCGCCGGCAAACCACCTCCCTGGCCCCACGCACGCAGAGCCTGCAGGGGCAGCTGATGCGCCAGTGCGCGGAGCTGGCCAAGCTGCGTGCCGCGCTTGCGGCGGTGGAGTCTGGGGAGGACGGCGTGCTGCCCCTATCCCGCCTGCGCGAGATGCTGGACCGCGCGCTGCGCCTGCAGGAGAGCACGCTGAGCGAGGTGGCGGCGGGGGAGGGCGGGGGGCCGGGCGAGGGGCGGCGCGTCTCGGTGGATGAGGAGGTGAGTCTGGCCGACGACGGGTCGGCGGGGGTGGGGGCCACCGCCGCCGCGGCGGTCTCCGTGGCGCTGGCGCAGAGCTGGGCGGCCACGGCACGCCACGCCACGCCCTCCAGCGCCCACGCCTCCTTCACCCGCGCCAACGGCGGCGCGTCGCCGGGCAACGGCCGCGCCCGCTTCAAGCTGGTGGCCGCCGTGCCGCGCTCCCGCCGGAAAAAGGTGCCCGGAGTGAGGGTGTTTGCTTGTGTGTGTTTTCCTGGAAGATCTATGGGGTTCCATGAAAGGCGTTGCAGTCACGAATCTCGTGGGCGACTTGGTTGGCAGGAGGGGGCATGGAGATGGTCCCCGGCGTCGGCCGGAAACATGGACTCGATCGCTACCGCAATCCAGCCGATGACAAAACGCCGCCTTTCAAAGCGTCCCCCCCGCGTCGCCTCGCAGGACGGCGGCGCGACGCAGACCACGCTGACCACCAAGCTGAGCATGCTGCCCACGGAAAGCAGCGTGGCCCTGGACTCGCTGGCGGATGCCTCGCGCAGGTTTGTGAGAGGGTCTGCTCTGGTGGTCTTTGTGCGCGCTCGGCTGCTGGACTCGTGCCGCATGATGCGGACGCCAAGCTGGCACGTGACACCTGAGTCGCTGCAGGGCTTCAGCGCCCCCTCCTCTGGCGATTCCCACCCAAGCTCCATCTTCTGAACCACCAAACCCCTTCCCCCACCCGCACACAACACCACAGCGCCATGGACGACGAGCAGGAGGCGACGTGGCGGGCGTGCGGGAGCCACCTTAAGCTGCACTGGCTGTCCAGCCCACGAAGCGTGCTGCTGTCCAGCAAGCCTGCGCCCAGCCTGGCGCCACGCACTGTGGATGCCGTGCTGTGGCTGGTGCGCCGTGGGCTGACGGTGTGGGTGGAGCCCGGGGTCTATCGCCGCGTGCGCGCGGCGGTGGGCGCCGCGCTGGCGGACCCCGGCGCGGGGCCCCCCGGTTCGGGGGACGAGGGACTGAGCAGCGTGGGGAGTGGGGATGTGGCGGGGTCGCCGGGGCCCGGCTGCGGCCTGGACGCCGGGCGGCCGCCGCGCGGGCCCGGCAGCGCTGGCGCCGGGGGCGCCTCCACGCCCAACCTGTGCCGCCTGGCGGACGACCAGGTGGACCTGGACGCGGCGCTGCGCACGTGGAAAGCACGGCGCGGCTGTTGGGGGCGGGGCCGGTCCGGCCAGGCAGGAGAGGTCGGCGAGGAGACGGGGTCGGGCGGCGAGGAGGCGGAGGAGTATGATGACAGTGAGCCGCTCTGGGGGGATGACCATGAAGTGGAGCAGAGCGACGGCCACACGGCAGCTCGGCGGCGCTCCTCGACAGCGTCCCGATCGGCACCGCCCACCGCCAACCCCTACGCGGACGTGGAGGGCCCCGAGCCCTTGCCCGCCCGTGTGGCTTCAGCCATCGATCTGGTGGTGACCCTGGGTGGCGACGGCACCCTGCTCTGGGCCTGCTCCCTGTTCGGGGACGCGCCCGTGCCGCCCATCGTGGCCTTCGCCATGGGCTCGCTGGGTTTCATGACGCCCTTCCCCGCCGCGCGCCTCTGCACCGTGCTCTCCCGCGTCGCCAGCACCGCCCACGGCTTCCCCATCATGCTCCGCCACCGCCTCCAGGTTGGTTTGGGGTGTTGGTTTTTAAATGTGTCTTTTGTT